TGGATAATAAACAGCAGAAACTCAGATGTCACTTGGGTTGCAAATAATGACTTCCTGTGACATATTTATTTTATAAAATGAATAATTACATTATGATAGAAAATATGTGCTTTTATTTTGTATCCCAAACACCATTGACTCTGATTTCCTCTTTTATAAGTACTATGTAAGTTTTACTAGGTGATGATATTTATGCATATGTACACAACACACATGTATATTGGTTTATTGCTTAAGTTGGCTAAATATCATAGAGAATAATTTAGCTAGCAGTGTCAAAATCTACTTACTGAATATTGTGGGGCTTGTTTGCATATTTTGTTCTTGGTCAAAAGAAGTTCTTTCTTAAACCATGAGGTCTTTGTTTTGTATTCTTTAATCTGGAATACATAATCTACTTTTCAGGATTTATCTTTTGAAGTCTGTCATTTAAAGATTATTGCGGCTCTCCAAGAGGATTGTTAATTTTTCCATAAGTTTTTATAATGTCAATTGTATCCCTCAATGAAATCTAACATTTTTTATCTTGCTTTCAGACTGCACATTTATTTTGAGGTATTGTTATTATTTTTGGTAATTAAAACTACAATTTTTGAGGGTGCAGGCCACTGAGTTCACACACTTCCTCTCTCTGGACTCTCTGGTAATCTTGTCTGTTCTTGGTTCTTTCAGACTGCTCACAGGTGAGCCACGTTCATGGATCACAGGAATGTCACTGTGGTCACTGAGTTCATCCTCCTGGGTCTGTCTGATGACCCAGAACTGAATATTGTACTCTCTGCATTGTTTTTCTTCATCTATGTCATTATCGTGCTGGGCAACTTTTGGATTATTGCAATGATTCTAGTCAGCACCCGACTCCATTCTCCCAAGTACTTTTTCCTCTGCCAGTTGGCTTTTTTGGATTTCTGCTATTCCTCAGTCTTTATCCCTAAAATGTTGCTGAACTACATGGCAGGACAGAGGACCATCTCCTACCAGGGATGTCTCCTGCAGTATTCCTTTGTGAACATGCTCCTGACCACAGAGTGCTTCCTCCTGGCCACAATGGCATACGATCGCTACCTGGCCATCTGCCTCCCTCTTCACTACAGAGGTCTCATGACCCCCGCCTGCTGCGTCCACCTGGTGACTGCCTCTTACCTGCGGGATTGTGCCAACTCCCTCACTCATCTGATCAGCTTGCTGAGCCTGTCTTTCTGTGGGCCTAACATCATCAATCACTATTTCTGTGATATCCCGTTGCTCTTTCAACTCTCCTGTTCTAACACCCACCATGGTGAGGAATTATTCACTGTCCTTTCTGGAGCGACATCGGTGACTACACTTTTGATAGTGATCAGCTCCTATTTGGGAATTCTTATCACTGTCTTGAAATTGCAGTCTACCAGTGGCAGGTATAAAGCCTTCTCCACGTGCTTCTCCCACCTAACTGTAGTGACTCTCTTCTACGGGACAATGATATTCACTTACCTGGGAACCAGCTCTAGCTTCCCACAGGATACAGCCAAAATACTTTCTGTGTTTTATACTCTTCTGCTCCCAATACTAAATTTTCTAATATACAGTGTGAGGAACAGAGAAGCCAAAGCAACCATGAAGCAAATAATTAGGAGGAAAATGTTTACTCAAGGAATATAAATTTTCAGGCAGAAATATTTAAAGCATCTTTATTGATGTTGGAAGACTGTACATCGCTAAATGCCTAAGGATTTGCGGAAGACAAAATAAATTGAAGGTAGCTTTCAAGATGCCTGGCTGCTGTTTTTTGTAACACTCATGCCACCCACACGCATGGGAGCACAT